TCTGGGGGCTACCCCGTCCAGAGTGGCGCGGATGATGGATCGCATCAGCGGATGGTGGACCAGGACACATGCTGTTCTAGATACATATTCCACACGCCGCGCCAGAAACAATGGAGCGAAGCAGCAGCATCTGTTACTTTTATCACGAAGTTGTGCCAGGAGGCGCCAGAGCAAGGGCGTCAAGCCCCCAGGCCGAATTGACGGCATATCATGGGCATATTGGCTCCAGCTGGCGCGCTGAGTGACCAGGGGCTCGCTGAAGCAGCCAATTTGAGTGAATGGGTTTCTCGGGAGAGCCACCGGCGGGCCATCAGTCAGTCACTTCCTGAATATCGAGAGCGGACGGAGTCTCAGAGCGCTGCGTCGGTCATGCATCGGGCGACGCGAGAAAACCCGCAGGTCTTGCCTGTCTTCCCCGACGGGGACAATCACGCAGCACCCGCGGGGCATCATGGGTCGGAAGAGCGCGAAGTTTCAAGAGCTGCGGGCTCCTGAAGGTCAGCAGCTGGAGGAGCTGCAAGATCTATTTCGTGACATGCGAGCTCGAGTTGCGGAGGTGCCCCCCCCGCTAATGTCAGGCAAACAGTTCCGAACGGCAGGCAGACGCATGGTGCAGGCTGCGGCCATGGGAGTCCATCGCCAAGCGGCGCTCGACACAGACAGGCTCCCAGACGGCGCGCTCGAGGAGCTAGCGGCGGTACTCGCGGCATGTGGGAGATGTCAGGCGCGGCCGCATCAGCTGCTCTCGACGATCGGCATGCCGTTGCCGAAGAAGATCGCGGGCAACAGGGTCATCGGCCTGTTGCCCCACATTGCGCTGCTCTGGCCCCAGGCGCGAGAGTCCTGGGTGCGCTCGTGGACCGAGGACTGCGGGGCGCCGTGGGATGCCGCTATCCGCTGCAATGCAGCGCTGCAGAGGGCGTTCACCCGCGTGGTGGACGAGGAGCTTGCGGCGCGCTTGGGCGTGGCCCATGGCCGCGGCATGCTGGGCAACGCCAGCTTCTCCGACCCCGTCGGATGGCTCAGGCTGGGCAAGATTGCCCTGCGGCTGGACTTCCCAGCGGAGGTCCTGGGGCCGGAGGAGTTGACGCAGTGCATGGCTGCGCGGTGCCTTCGACAGTCGGGCGCCTATTCGGAGGCCTTCGCCCCGACAAGGTCGGTGGTCCAGGGCCTGGGGTCAGGCGCGCGTTTTGCCCAAGTGGCACCATCTTTTATCACGCGGCGAATTGGCACAGTTCATGAGCAGCTATCGCGCAGGTTGCGGATCGACGATTTGAGTCAGGTTGCGAAAGGATCGAGGCGAGCTGTGCGTGATCGACTCGCGGCATGTTCGAAGGTGTCGTGCATTTTGCAGCGCGAGGGCCTCGAGATCTCCCCCGCGGTGGTCTGCGCCGAGCTCGCGGGCGCCGAGGAGATCGCGAGGCGCTTCGAAGCGGTCGGTTTCTCGGTGACAGCGGCGGCGCAGACCCCGCATCTCGGCGACGGTGCCGGCGGTGGGCGACGGCGCGTTCGTGCGACCAGGGCGGCAAGAGCAGCTCGTCACCAGAGATTGCACAGGGAGGTCGCGAAGCACGCGCGCACGGCGCGTAGGCGCAGGCTGACGGCACGACTGGAGCAGCAGGGCGCAGCAGCCGCGGGGACATATGCCTATCAGGCTCATGGAGTTTTCGGTCACAGAATTAGGCAAATGAGGTTTTTCATGTGCCATGCATCTAGCCCTCGGCTCACAGGGCGATGCGTTACGACGCTGCTGGACTTGCGTGCCCCAGGGCGCGATCCAGCATATCGGATGCAACGGGAGTGCTTGCAGATGTGGATTCGGACATGGTTCACGCAGCCTGCGATGCGCAGCGGCACCGAGCGAACTTGGAGACAACTTGCCCAAGAGTTTCGCTCCATGAGTCCGCAGCGGCACAGCCGCCACATGCGAGGGCCGCAGACTGCAGTGATTGCCTAACTTCTGCAGGAGGGCTGGGGACCGGAGGGGCCAGTCGATTTGCGCGTTCAGAGCGACGGGTCGGATTTCCAGCACAATTGGCAGTTCAATCCAGAGGCTCCCACAGGTTCTGAGGAGGCTGATGTTCCCAAGGCCATCTTGCAGGAGTACGAGGGCGCCGTCATGCAGAGGTTGTGGCGCCAGGCCGCAACTTAGTTTGCTGGCGCTGGCATGGAGGGAGGGATCTACAACCTCTCGCTCCGAGCACTTCTCCGCCAACTGGAGGAGGCGCCCAACGGCGGACAGCTGTCGGGCATCCCTTTGTCAGCGGCGGCAGGAGCAGCCTGGCCGCGAGAGCGCAGGTCTGAGAAGGCCAAGTTGCCAGTCTCCCAGACTTGTGCCCGATGTCGCAGTGAGACAGAGAGAGTCTTCGTTTCACTGGATTTGGTGCTGGTCGAAGTGCGTTGATCATAACATCCACAGACTCTCAGATGAATCTGCCCCTAGGGCCCACACACAGCACGAAGTTGAGCCGTGCTTCTGGCACCGAGGCCTCTTAGCGCAATCGTGGGTCTCAGTTCCGCCCCCACCAGAGGGGGCTGTCTGGTGGAACGAAGGCATATGGGCGTTCGAAGATAATTGTTCTGGTCGCGGTTCGGTTTCGGCCCCTGTCTGTCTCTTCGGGGGTGCCAGCGGGGGCGAAGATGCCAGCGACCCTCGGTTCCGTGGAGTGGGCTGCGGCATAGCACAGTATTCTGATCTTTCTGAGAATATGCAGTTGGTGGCGTCTGCGCGGGGGGGCTGGCCCGGACCCCGGCAGACTGCAGCCAGGAGTTAGTTTTACAGTTTCCTGTTTGCGCTGATCGGCGCCGATGGAGTTGTCATATATACCACAGAGAACTCTAGTGTCTGTTCGGGATGGTATTGTGGCCGAGCGTTCGCCCCTGATGGGGAGAACGCGGATTTGTTGGTCAGGTTCGAAGGCGAAAGCCAGAGCTGTGTTGCACGGGACTTTTTTGTGCATTCCCATCAAGAGGTTCGGGACGTCGTCCAGGGCAGAGCCCCTCTGTTTTTGACTGAGGGGAACGCGGCAAAGGACAAGCTAGCCGAAGCCGCTGCCAGAGCGGTCTGCACCCCTGCAGACATCAGGAATAAGGTTTTCACGAGTGAAAGCATGGCTTTCGCCGTCCGCATGAGAACTGCGTTGGCCACCTTAGAAACTTTACAAGCTGAGCAGGCCCTGGCGATCGAGGAGCCCCGAGGAACCCGGGTCAGGAATCCTGGGCCCATGCCGCCAGCACTTGTGGTGCGCAAGGAGTTTTCCACAGTGCACACGTTATCTGATAGCAAGCTCTTGTGCCAAACGTGTAGGAGCTCCACATCCAAAGCGAAGCGGAATAATTGGTTTGATACCCCATGCTTTGACCTGAGGGCTATATCTGTGGCGTAATTTTCAGGCCGCCGCCCCAGTGCAGGGTGCACATCTGTGGGGGGTGGGCTGATGAAACTCTCTTGTTACATGTTCACGCTTGGTTGGGGATTTGGTTATGCGGCGCCTGTGGATGTTTTGCGGCCCAACAGTTGGTCCAACTCGGAAGGAGGTGTGAAGGCAGGCCTGCAGGTAATCGCGCAGATCACCTTAGGAATATTGAACGGGGGATCTGGCCTAAAGCTTACAGTAAAGCTGGTAAGGCCAGAAGGGCGGCTCGTTCATGATAAGCATATACGTAACCGACATAGTCGCAATATCCGTAACTCCGTAACTCCTCCTCCTCCTCCTCCTCCTCCTCCTCCTCCTCCTCCTCCTCCTCCATCATCATCATCATCGTCTTTCCTCCTCCTCCTCCTCCTCCTCCTCCTCCTCCTCATCGTTTTTCCTCCTCCTCCTCCTCCTCCTCCTCCTCCTCCTCCTCGTCCTCCTCCTCCCCAGTTGTTTTGTGTCGGGCCCGAGGCCCCGCAAGGGCCCCGGGAGGCCGACGACAACGAACCACCTGTGGCTCGATCTTTGCTCGAGACGCCGGACGTCTGGGGTGCTGGCTGGAACCATCGGGGCTTGACAGAACCCCCAACAGTGACACGTCGATTAGTGAATTGTCCGTTTTCGGTTCTCGAGAGGGCGCCGTGGCCGTTATTTTCCAGGCTTGCGCCCGCCAGGTTTGGGGCTCAGGTCGTTTTCACTAAACCACGTTTTACTAAAGGGGGTTCTGTCCATCCCCGAAACCAGTGCTGGTCCTCATGTTGTTCCCGTTCGCCCCAATCGGGGAACAAACAAGGACACAGACATAGCATTCCAGGGGGGCGCGCGGATTTCTCGGATCGGTACTGGACCCCCGCTGCTGGCGCGCGGGGCGCGCCAGAGGTGGCGCCAGAGGCGGCGACGAGGGGCCCCAGCGCCGATCTGAGGAATCCGCGAGGACGCCCAAGCTTTCATGTATGTCATTCTTGGTTTTCCGATTTTCCCCCCTACGGCCGCCGGTCTCGGAGTCCGGTGCCGTGCGCACGTGGAGCGCACCTTACAGCTGTCACTGGAAAGGGCGTTATGACACAGGGTGTTCTGTCAATTGTCGAATCTTGGTCATGGTCGGACGGGGCTATCGGACGAAGATCCATCCGCCCCAGAGCGTTCGAGAGCGCTCTCGGAGCGTCCTGGAACGCTCTGAGGAAGCTGCGGCGCCCGAGACATCCTCCAGAGCTTCCAGATCTCAGCGATTCTCGTTCTGGGTTAACCTTATCGCGAAGTCCTTACGGCAGGTGCCGCCGGCCCTGAAGGGAGACGACGACGACGACGACGACGACGACGACGACGACGGCGACGGCGGCGACGACGACGACGACGATGACGACGACGGCGACGGCGACGACGACAACGGCGGCGGCGGCAACGACGACGACGCTGACGTGGGCCAGGGATGGCTCTTGGGGTCTCTTCGGATTTTTGCTTCCCCCCCCCCTCTCGAGGTCGTTACCGCCTTATCCCTCCTCCTCCTCGCCCGCCTTCTCCCGCCTCCTCCTCCTCCTCCTCCTCCTCCTCCTCCTCCGCCTCCTCCTCCTCCTTCCCCCCAAGGCCGCTGGGCCCCCCTTGCCTGCTGGGCGCCTCGCCCGGCCCGGCCCGCTTCGCGGCCAAGGCGGCGCGGTGAGCCTGCGGCGGCCGGCCTCCTGCGCCAACGTGGTGCCCCAGGAGGGCGGAGGTGCTCTGCACGAGCGAAATGGGTACGGGGAAGAATGGGTACGACGCGAAGGTCGGGACAGAGTCGGATCGGGGTAACGGCGAAATCTCTGAGAGTCGGCGGGTTTGGAGGATGTGTTGGGCGCCGCGGCCGCTCCAGAGCGTTCCGGAACGCTCTGAGAGCGCTCCGGAGCGCTCTGGAGCGATTTATCCCGATCCTAGCCCTGTTTTACATTTGTCTGCACGCACGAAATGGGTGCAGAAAGAATGGGTACAGTGCCCAACAGCAGTTCCTGTTCATTCTGAACAGGACTCGCTGTCCGCGCAGCCGCGGCCTGTGTCCGCTTGAGACCGAAGGCCGCCTGCCCAAAAGCGGCCGCCGTTGGTTTGGGACAACATTTGTTGTTGGGCACTGTACCCACTTTTTCCGTACCCATTTCGGGCGTCCATTGTACCCCGCCGCGTGGGGCGGGGGGGAGCGGGGGAGGCTCCTCAGTCGGAGGCTGCTTCTTGGAAGGCGTGGGCCTGGTCTGCAGATGCAGGCCGGTCGCCCACTAAGGAGCAGCATCCTTCCAAGAGCCCGACCCCATCCCCCCCCCCTTGCGCGCGCCGCCAATCGTGTGCCCGAGGAGGTCGGATGTGGCCAGGGTCCTGGTCGGAGGGCACCAACTATACACCAACACCGATCCTGGCCCAGGATTTGCCTGGGCCCAGGATCGGTGTATATGCCTTCTTGCGCAAGGCAGGAGGGCGTATACACCGATCCTGGGCCCAGGGTGATCCTGGCCAGGATCGGTGTTGGTGTATAGTTGGTGCCTTCCTACCTGGGAGGTGCGCCTCCTGCAGGCCCGTCCCTCTCCTCCTCCCCCCCCCCCCCCCTGTGAGGTCCTGGGAATGGCAGTCTTGTCACCGCGGGGGCGCTCGCGCGTTTGCGAGCCCCAGCTGGCCCTCACGCCCCGATGCGGCCCGAAAACTGACACACACACACAAAGATGGGGTCCAGATTGTATTCTTTCGCAACGTCAGATCTGAGGGCCATCCTCCTCCTCCCCCTCCTCCCCCTCCTCTCCCCTCCTCGCCGAGGGCCCCTCGCCCTCCCTCGGCCTCCAGCCGCTTCCCGGTGCGGGGGCCCGAAGTGCGAATATTGGGGCAGGATCATTCCTCCGGCCCTGCCGTAGCGGGTGTTTTTTCCGGGTGACGGCAGTTCCGGTTTGTCGAATGGGACCGGGGGGTGGGCGCCCCCCAGTACATATTCAGCCGCGTGCAGAGGGGGGTGGCGGAGGGGGGAAGTCTTCTTAGAAGAACGCCCCTTCGTAGAAGTCGCGGGCGCCCCTTCTAAGAAGACTGTGGCTGGTTCTGAGAAGCTGTTCCTGGCGTGCTTCTAAGAAACAAGTGGCTTGCTTCTACGACGCTGTTTTTGTTTCTAAGATGCAGTTCCGTGGGTCTAAGAAGTTGCTGAGGTGTTTCTAAAAAGCGGCGCGCACCTGGCTTCTTAGAAGAACTGCTAGCGCCGTCTAAGAGGCAGCCGCTTTCTGAGAAGCCGTCCCCCCTCCCTCTACCTCCGTGTGCACGCCGTTAACATACACATCACTAAACCAGGTCCCCATGAACCAACTCCCGCCAGTGCCCGAACAGGGCTTGACGTTTTTGGGGGCCAGTCGACTTTGCAGATCAAGCTGGTTAATTCAAAGGCAAATCTAGGTAGCTTTGAGCAAATCTGTGCAAATTCTGGCGGATTTTAGTTAGTCCAAAGATCTTCATTAACATGTGGAACAAGTCGTGGCCGCTCTAGCTCCAGCCGAGGGATCTTAGAAGTCATCAACTAAGCCCTTAACGATCTTTGCCGGCGGGCCATCGCCCGCCCGCTCTCGATCGCTCGGTGGCGAGCAAATGCGTACAGAAGCCCCGGCTGCTGCTGGAGGTGGTTTTGACCCAAGGTCAGATGAGGAAAAGGTACGGGTACAGCTGCCCTTCCTTCGTCATCGCCTTTTTCGCCCTCCTGGGACGGCCTCGTCGCCACGGCTGGACTCGCTCCAAGAGGATGATCGGAACGCACCCCAGGAGAGGTCTTAGGAGCAGCGGTATCGGTAATTACACATTCTTCATTCCTAATTATTCGGAAGTTCTATGATTTTTTGGGGGGCCAAGATCCTGTCATTTCTAATTGTTCTATCTTGGGCGTCTTCCTGGCCACTAGGGGGCCAGGAGCAATTAGAAACGAGCAGAATATGAAATGAGCACGATTAGAAATGAACGACGTTCACTTTAGCCTTGACTCCCAGGAAGAATTTCGATCACAACAAAAAAACGAAATTTGAGGGTTTTCACGTGTGGGGCCCTGGAAGACACTCGTCCGACACTGTGTCGGCACACTTTCGACACTCTTTCGGCACTTTTCTGGGTGCTCGAAATTATTTCTGGGATGTGGTCTTTAAGTTGGATGGGAACAGCAGAAGGCTCGGGTCGGACCAGAGGGGGAGCGGCATGGAGATGGAGGCTAACGTCGGCCCACATAGGCAGGATGAGCAACTTTCCAAAGTTGCCCCTGCATGCCTGTCCCTTCGGGCCCGCCTTCGGTAACTCTCGCAGGTCGACCTCGTCCGAGAGGCGTTGCCATGGCCCTCCAGGGCCCTTGCGCATCCTTACCGCGCATCCTTACTACACGGGTTGATTGTACGGCACGTTTTGCACATGCAGCTGGTTTCCCCCACGCCGCCGGGCGCTTACCTCAATGCATGGGCGCTCGCGGCGCTGGGAGGCGCCGCCTATCATCAGCCATACGCGGCAAGGCGTGCGGCAGAAGGATAATTGGAGCCACAGGGCGGTCGTCTGTCAATGGGGGCGCTGCCCGTTGTGGGAAGAATTGGTCTCCAGTCGGACCGAGGTATTGAGATCGAGGTCGGTGTTGGGAAGGTGCCTTTGGATGTTCTGCTTGGTGCCCTTGGATGTTCTGCTCGGTTTGGCCGGCGAGGGGTCTTGTGCTCTTTTTGGGTTGTGTTGTTGGATGTTCTCTTGAGCACCCCGGGGAGGGTACGCTTGGATGTTCTCTTTGTTTTGGCCGGCGGGGGGTCTTATGTTCCTGAGGTGTTTGTTTGTTCTTGCCTGGGTCCGATTGCACAGGCTTGCGCCGCATCCTCCGACCCCCTGAATTCGGTTGTTCGTGGGCCTGGCTTGTGCGGAGTGCACGGTCACTTGGTGGTGTTGTTCGGCAGGTCATTCGGGTTTTTCCTCAGGTCTCTTTCTCCGAGGCAGTTTTTGGGGGCCAGTCCCGGGTCTATGGCTGAATTTCTTGCACTCGCCAGATGGAGGTGATTGAAATCGAGGTCGAGAAGCAGGATGATGATGATGATGATGATGATGATGACGATGATGATGATGATGATGATGATGATGATGATGATGATGATGATGATGATAATGGTGATGGTGATGGTGATGGTGATGGTGATGGTGATGGTGATGATGATGATGATGATGATGATGATGATGATGATGATGATGATGATGATGATGACACGTTGGCGAAGCGGGGTTCCCAAGAGCATGTGGCAACCTTGGCTGGACACCGACGTGCATATCTGATAGCATTGTCTGGGCTAATTCCCGGATCCGGGCGTCACTTCTGGTCCCTGCGGGGTCTCGCTACTGGAGCCAACTTGGTTGGTCGAACTGGAACGCCCAGTCGCGTGCTGAATTGGTGCGGGTCTTCGAAGACAAGCCGTATGAACAGCGGAGGAGGAGGAGGAGGTGGAGGAGGAGGAGAAGGAGGAAGCGGAGTGCGCCTGCCGCGGCTGAGGGCCCAGTGGCAACTGAAATGTAGGATCTTTCGTCGATGGTCGATCTCGGTAGGTTTTTCAGCGGTGTTGGCCTCTGGAGGCCCTCTTCGGGCTCCTGAACTGTCGAATATCGAACGACTTGCGGCCCATGCCGCCACCGTGTCTGGGTTGCAGGTCGGAGTCCTCAGGGATGCTCCTTGGGGTCCCTTCGGAGTGCTCTCGAGGACCCATGCGGGGGTGGTTTGGGAGCCCCTTGGGAGCCTCTTGAGGGGTTCTTTGGGCCCTCTTGGGCGTCCTTGGGGCCTTTGGGGGACCTCTTGGGGGCCCTTGCGGGCCTCTTGGGGGTTCCTGAGAGCCGCCCTCCTGGTGGGCGTTCGAAGCCGAGGGCTCGAATTGTTCGCTCGGGTCCCCGTGTGTGCCCCCTCTAGGAGCCGTCTTGGGGCCATCATTGCCTGTTTTGGGGCCCTCTTGGAGGCCTCTTCGGGCGATCTTGCTTGCCTCCTAGGCCGTCTTGGACCGTCAGAAAAACCTGAAAAGGCGAGGACGCCAAAAACTTCCTAAGGAAATCTATAAACTTTACTTGTTGGGTTTGGAGGCACTCTTGGGCGACTTGGACGATCTTTCGGCGGCTCGGGGCCCTCTTGGAGCGTCTTGGGTGCATGTTTAGGCTCTCTTGGTCAGTTTTGGTACCCTTTATCCCTCCATGGCGCGCTCGTGCCATGTCATTGTGGGTGGGGTGGGGGGGTAGAATTTCCAGTTTGGGGGCAGGGGGGGGAGACTACGGAGGGGGGGGTCGGAGGGAATCTCACATTCCGAAAGGCCCTCACAAGGCTTCGGCAGATTTCTTATGTGGACCTTTTGCATCGTGGACTGAGGGCGGGAGGTTGTATTGCAGAGCGACCTGCCAGAGGGACCGGCATCCCCGTGAAACTCCTTGGGGGTCCGCCCTACAAGCGCACGGAGCTTAGCTGCCCTGATACGC